GCGCGCAGTAGCACCCGAAGAGTAATCATCTTCGGGGTCGGTGCGAAGGTCTGGAAGAAGTCCACCCCCTCTCGCTGACTTAAGCCTCTAGCCACATAGCGCGCCTTGAAGACAGGCGGCTCTCCAGGAGGGCGCTTCACCTTGAAGAGCCAGCGGCCATCGACTACGTTCACCCCAGGTAGGGGAGCTGCGTCGACGCAGGTGCCGGTGGACCTCCAAGATGCCATCTCCTGCTCCATGGCAGCTATCCACTGAGAAGCCCAGGGTCCCGAGGTGGCCTCAGCGTAGGTACGGGGGGTCGGGATGTCGAAAGCGTCTGGGTCACCCTCAGGGACTAGTAGCATGGAGCAGAGATGGGGAGCAACCTCGGACAGGAAAGCAAGCTCGTGCTGTCGGTCCTCCAAAACGTCATTGCCGAGGGCAAGAGCACCCTCGACGGACGGAGGACAGGCAGGGTCGGAGACCAGAGCGGTGGCGTAGTCAAGGTGGTGGGTAGAGGCGAAGTCAGCGACAGCAGCTAGAAGTGCGTCAAGAGACGAAACAGGAAGAGATGGGTCGGTAACGAGAGAGGCAAGGACCCGAGAGACAAGAGGACGAGCGGTACGAAGGTAGTCAGACAGAGGGGGAGGCGCGACAACAAGAGAGGACGGAGGAGGCGACGGCAGGAGGAGAGGACGAGACACGTGGGAACGAAGCAACATAGGGTGAGAATGCGAGAGAGAGGAGACCGGACAGGCACGAGAGGGACGGCGAGCCCAGACGCACAACGGGGGCGTTGGGTCGGGGGACAGGGGAGGAGACACAGGAGGGGAACGAGGGGGAAGACAAGCCGGCGAGGAGTCCAGAAGAGGGAACACAGGGCCGTAGACAGGAAGAGGAGGAGACGGTAAGAGAGGCACAGACGTGCGATCAGGGGAGGGAAGGCCGAGCAGGCGGAGGGCGGACACTGGCGGCGACCGCTGCTGCTGCGGCTGCACGACGCCAACACCTGGACCACCGGCTGCTACACGGCTACCTCCACTCCACTCCAGCACCCCGAGAAGGAACACCCCCAGAACCAAAGACCCCTTCAGCACCGGCACTACCCACAAGACAGGCACCCGCCTCAGCACCAGCACCCCTAGAGGACACTAACTGCTGCGGCTGCGACGACGGCTGTGGCTGCGATGACGGCTGCGGATGCGAAGGCGGAGGAGGAGACATGGTGAAGGGGGCAGATGGCAAGGACTGCGCCACAGAGCTACGAGAGTCAGCAGACTACTCAACCGGGACAACCGACGAGAGGGGGGTGACATGAGACACACCAGACGGGGCAAGGCGAAGAGGTGGGAAATCAGGGGCGACCAGGGAAGGGGGGACCAGGAACAGGGGGGGAGTAAACGGGGGACCACGGTGGGGAAAGCGGTGGTAGAAGGAGACAGACTCGTCAAAGGTGACGTCGCGAGAGTGAAAGAAACGGTGAGACGGCGGGTAGTAGAAGTGCCTGTCAATCGAGTCGAGGGGGAAACCGAGGAAGACACAGGGGACGGTACGGGTACTGAGCTTGTCCGTGCCGGAGGCACGAACGTGAGCAAGGCAGCCTCAGACATGGAACGCAGACGCTTCACCAGGGGACCCGGTCCAGTGAAGGGTCGGCGAAACCCGCGGCTGCTGGGGGTGCGGCCACAGGTTAAGCTGGTGGGCGGTGTAGCGAACGGCGAACGGCCACAGAAAATGGGGTGCACCGGCATGGATCATGGAGGTACGAGCCACCTCCATGACCAGACCGATGCGTCGCTCAGCGACCCCATTCTGTTGTGGGGAGTCCGGCAGGTTGAACGTCTGGGTGATGCCCTCCGCACGGCAGAAACGACCAAGGAAGCCGGAGGCAAACTCGCCACCACGGTCGTAGTGAAGACGCAGGATAGGAAGGCCGAGGTGCACTCGCGCAGAGACTAGCCATAGGATAAGAGCGTCAGGCAAGTCGGCCTTCCACTCCAGGGGAAACACGGTGGTGTAATGAGTGTAGTCGTCAAGAAGGATGAGGAAGTAACGCTCACGACGCGGCCCATGAACTGGGGCAGGACCCCAAACGTCCATGTGCAAGGTCTGCAAGGGTGCAGTGGTGGGGGGGAACGAGGAGGAGTGAGGGGAGCGGCAAAGCCGGCCCTCAACGCAGGGGGAACACGGCGGCTTGGGTGAGGAGGGGAGCATAGGGAACGACCCAGGGAGGCCTAGAACAAGACCGTGCTGAGACATATGACGAAGACGGGGGAGGGCAGGGTGACCTAGGCGGTGGTGCCACAGTAGCGTCGGGTGAGTGAGCGACCGACACGAGCAAGACGCAGCTACCTGAGGAGACACAGTCACCTGGGGAGACGCCACAAACAAGGGGGGGGCGGTGTCCAGTGTGAACAGGCCAGACACGGGGTCCCGGGGGAACGTGGAGAGGGAGCACCTGTAGCGGCCTTGGTTCAGACAGCGTACCGTTCGTAACCAAGGAACATAGTGGTGACGCCAATGTCCTGGAGGCAGCCGACACCAACTAGGTTCCTAGAGAACGAGGGGATGTGCAGGCCTGTAAGGGAGCCCGAAGGAACCGTTGGACAGGGAAGGGTAGTGGAGCTACGAGCTACGTTAGGGCCGGAGGAGGGGTCGGCCAGGAAAACAGCGGCAGTGGCTGAGAGTGGCGTGAGAATAGTGTAGTCCCAGAAGAAGCACCGAGAAGCGTCAGCGTCAAGGGTGAAGGAGAGCGCGGCGGTGACGGCAGGAGCGGTAGGAGCAAGAGAGGAGCCTAGGCTAAACAAAGCAGGAGAGCCTACACCTGACGCAGCAGGGGGGTCTGTACTAGGCACACCTACACAAGGCAACACTGGGTAAGCAGAACCAATCACACTAGAGTCATCGACATACAGCGCATACAGCGCAGAGCTAATCTCATCCATGTCCATATCAAAGATCTGAACACCCTGTCGGAGCAAGCTGAGCCAGTCGGGGAGATCCAGCGACGGGCCGAAGCGAGGACGAAACAGGTCGTCCAGGCGACTGAAACAGCGAGTGGGGGTGTGACCAATCTTACCGCACACAAGGCCACGGCGAGGACCGGTCTGAAGCTGATACTGGCAGCGCCTGTCGCCAGAGCCACCACCCGACTGCATGCCACGCGCACGACCAGCGCGACCGCCGCCACCGCCAGCTCCGAGCCACCTGGGCGGGAGACGACCAACGCGCCGCTGCTGCTGCTACTACTGGCGTGGTGGCTGGTGCTGCTGCTGCAGTGGCTGCTGCGGCTCTGGCTGTGGCTGCTGCTGATCCTGCGGTGGAACCGGCTGCTGCTGCTGAGACTGCTGCTCGGTGGTGCCAGACCCAGCAGCCTCCTCCGCACCCCCTGAGGGCAACCCTGCGACAGCACCTCCTCCACCCACACCGCCGCCACCACCACCACCGCGCCCAGCCTTGGGGCGGCAGCCCTTTCCCGGACGAAACTGCATTGCAGCTGCTGTCTTAGCCACAGCAGCAGAGCCGTCAGAGAAATTGCACTGAGCGGGCGCACAGCCCTGAAAGATAGAGACCGGCACAGTACCGCTAGACTGGGCGTAGAGCACTGTCGAATCCCTATGGCTGACAGGGTGTCGACAAAGTCAGTGAGGGTGAGGTCGGCGGGGTGGAGACTAAGAAAAAGTTCGCGGGTAGTAGCAAGACGGTTAGGGAGGCGGGTGGCAAGCAGGTAGAGGGTAGCACAGAGGGGGGGTTGGAACACGCAGAGCTGAGCCTCAGTGCAGGCAGAGCGCCAGGTCGAGTCTAGGCTAGCTAGGTAACAGCGTCACGCGACAACCAGACCGAGCGGGCAAGGGCTGCAGCAACAGCGGACTCATGCTCAGCAGACGTGGGGTCAACGGGCAGCGCAGCAAGGGGGTCAGGACAGGGGAGCGTATCGTCGAGGTGTACAGCCAAGGAGTGGCTGTCCTGCCGCTGCCTTGTGAGGTGACGGCGGAGGTCGACGAGCCACGTGTCGAACTCGATCAGCTGACCCTCCGCGTCAAACCGCAGCACACAGTCCGCCATCAGGGGCGATGCAGCTGCGGTGCAGGGCGGTGCAGTGGGATGCAGTGCGGTGACGGGCGGTGCAGTGCGGTGTAGCGCAGTGCAGGAGCCGGCTGCACGGGACGTGCAGCTGGGCGTCAAGGCCGGGCGCTGAGAGTGAGCCGGTGCGGGCCGGGGCGGGGCGGGGACGGGCCGGCGACGAACGGGCGGGGACGGGCCGGCTACGAACGGGCGCGGGGGCCGGCGACGGACGGGCGCGGGGGCCGGCTACGGGCGGGCATGGGGCCGGCTAACGGACGGGCACTGGGCGGGCTACGGACGGGCGCGAGGAGGAGGCTGGCTACGGGCGGGCGTGGGGGCCGGCGAATGGACGGGCACGGGGCCGGCTACGGGCGGGCGCGGGGGGCGGCTACGGGCGGGCGTGGGGGCCGGCTAACGGACGGGCGCGGGGCCGACTACGGGCGGGCTCGGGGGCCGGCTACGGGCGGGCGCGGGGACCAGCTAAAGGACGGGCGCAGGGGGTCGCTACAGGTGGGCGCAGGCCGGCTACAGGGCGGGCTCAGGCCGGCTACGGGATGGGCCGGCTACGGGACGGGCGCGAGACGGGGCCGGCTACGGGACGGGCACGGGGCTGGCTACGAGGAGGGCGCGGGCCGGCGACGAGGCGGGCACGGGGCCGGCTAGGAGACGGGCGCGGCTACGGGACGGGCGCGGGGGCGGGCCGGCTACGGGACGGGCGCGTGCCGGCTACGGGACGGGCGCGGGCCGGCTACAGGACGGGCGGCTAGGACCTAGGGCGGAAGCGCGGGTGGGCGAATGGGACCACCTAACCTACTCATGATACCGTGTTAGAATGATGGAATGATTTAGAATGTAAGAGTACAAAAGAATATACCATTTTGTACCCTCTAAGGCACAAACCTATATAGTCTACAATAACATACTAAGATATGTTTTGACAGTTAGAATACTAGAATTATTAGAAATGAGAGAGAACAAGGGAGATATAGGGTTTGGGTTGTACTCTCTAAGAACACACCTATTCTAGCCTATAACTTCTACATGCACATGTATAAGTTGACAGGTTGCACCGTATTTCACTGCCCACGGACATGCGTGCGCTGTCTTTACCACTATGTTAGAACAAAATGGAGGCGCGCAAGTGAGAAACACTGCGCCACAGGTTTTTGTACCTCTGGCACTGGCCTGTTTTTCCTGTACAGCACCAGATGGAAGCTTCTGCTGATAAAAGCTTCGCTCTATATGGAGTTTCAGTCCCTGCAACAGCAAGGCCGTCATTGGGCGTCTACCCTAGCTCCCTCCCACACAGCTAGCAGCAATCTGCTCAGGCATGAGTGATGCCTGGTGAGTGGAACAGCCACCATTGATAGCACTATCACACACACCCCCTCCATTCTCTGCTTCACAACTCACTCCTGTTGCCGTGGGGCAATTGCTGCTGGGATCAGATTCGTCAGGAGGAGCGAGATGGGGTTCGTTAGAGAGGTTGCTGCTTGGAGGAGCCTCTCTTTTATTGCTGCTGCTGCAGCGAAACGCAGGAGGGATAGGCCGAGGAGGGGAGACGGAAGCACAAGCACCCGTCCCTGCCGCAGCAGCAACTGGCGCAGGAGCAGGAGAAACAGCAGGCTGAGCAGGAGGCTGAGCAGCACCCGAAAAGGAAGGGGGAATGGGATCACACGAAGCATGCCGCACAGGGCTGGCACCAGTCACAGGCCTATCTGCTGAGAAGTCAGCAGAACATGCGTCAAGAGGAGCAGCAGAGGCGGATGGAGAAGACGGGCTGATTCCAGCATTGGATGGACCCCAGCCTCCAGCAGCAGCAGCAGCAGCAGCAGCAGCAGCAGCGCCCACTGCAGAGCTGTCAGAACCACAGGGCGTTACATCAGTATCCGTGGCATCAGTAGCCAGCTCAGGTTGGCAATCAGACTGAGCCTCAGATTCAGAGAGAGGTTCTGCTGAGCCGGAAGCAGAGACGCCTGTGCCTGGGGAGGGTGCTGCAACAGGAGAACCGCCAGCACCGGAACTAGCAGAACCCGCAGCACCGGTAGAGCCAGCAGAACCAGCGGCGGCAGGCGAAGCTAGTCCACCTGCATCAGCAGCAGCAGCAGCAGCAGCAGCAGCAGCAGCCGACGCATCAGCTGCTGCCTCCTTCCCGTCCCCTCCCCCCCCACCAGCCCCTCGGTGAGGGTTCACGAAGGTCGCCTGGATGAGCCCCCCGGAGTTCTGCCAGAGCTTCCACGCCGCTTCCTCGTCCGGGCGGATGTTGGTCAGCCCCGCGGGTCGGCAGAAGTAGCTCAGGCTCACCAGCATCTCCACTAGCAGCAGCTCGAAGCGGTCCCTGTCCACGTAGTGAAGGGTCTACCAAGGGGAAATGGGAGGAATTAGGGGGGTGGAGAGAGGGGGAGAGAGGGGAGGGGGTGGGAAGGGAGTGGGGGTTGTCAAGAGGAGTGACTGAGGCTGGAAAGCATCTCAACTACGAGTAGCTCGAAGTCCCTGTCGATGTAGTGAAGGGTCTGGGGAGGGGGGAGTGGACGGGGAGGAAGCAGAGAAGGGGGAGGGGGGGGGGGGGGGGAGGGCGTGGGGGTTTGTTGAGAAAGGAAGCTGAGGCTCAGAGCACTCAAGTGGTAGCAGCTTGAAGCACTCCCTGTCCATGTGTTAAAGATGAGATAGTGGGGGGGACAGTAGAGACGGGGGGGGAGGGGGGGAGAAGGAAAAGGGATAAGAAGTGAAGAATAGGGGGGGAGGGGAGAGAGGGGTAAGAGAAGTAGCAGAGGCTGGCCAGCAATTTCACTAGAAGCAGCTTGAAGCACTCCCTGTCCATGCAGAGAACGACTGGGGAAAAAGAGAGGAGTGGCAGGATGGGGGGTTTGGAACTTGGAAGGTAAGGAGGACCGGGAAGTGGGAGAGGAGTGGAAGCGGGGGAGGAGGGGGAAGCGGGAGGATGTAGCTGAGGCTGAATAGCATCTCCATTACTAGCACCTCGAAGCACTCCCTGTAAGGATGGGGAAGCGATGGGAAAAGGCAGAGGTCCCTGCACATACTTTTGAGAAGTGGAGTTTTTTCAGCTGCTCGAAGCAGCAGTTTCCAACCATAAGGTAGGGGATCGAGGAGAGGCGATTCACAGAGAAACGGAGGGAAAAGGCAGGTCACTGAAGGAAGAACAACAGGGTTGTAGAAAGCAGAACAGCGTCTTCCAAGGCAGCAGAACCAAAGACCGCGACTTCTCACTCACCTCTATGCAAAACCCATTACACCACCAGAGGAGCCCAATCCCTGCATCCCTGCACATACTGTGTGCAGAAAGAGTTTTGAGACGTCTCAAAACACCTACCTTGCAGAACGCTCCTGAAAGAGCTTCTAACCGAACTCCGGCCAAGCCACGCCAGTGTGCGCAGCACCCACGCCAGCATCCCCCCCTTTCCTCTATCCCTAACCCGCCCTCCCTGCAGTCCCCTCCTCACCTGTATGGGCAACCACCGCAGCCGCCTGCTCTTGTGGCAGCCACGCCAGCATTGCTCCGAGCTGGGACTGCTAAAACATACAAACCCAACATGCACAAACCCTAAACCACCCCGCCTCTGCAGTTCTCTCCTCACCTGTATGTGCAGCGACCGCTGCCGCTTGCTCAGGTGGCACCCATACGAGTGCTCTGCCTGCCACGCCAGCGTGCGCTGCGCCATGGGCAGCACCCACGCCAGCATCTGCTCCGTGCTGCGCCGCATCTCAGCCGCTACCTCCACGTCGAACGGACGGCTGCGATGGCTCAGCCGCCGCCGCACCTTGTGCTTCACAGTGGACGGCAGATGGCGGTACAGATCGTCCCTGAGAGGGGGGAGGGGGAGGGGGAAGGGGAGGGGGAGTAAAGTGGATAGGAGGACGAGGAGAAGAGAGGGGGCGGATAGGGGCTGGCTCGCTCTGTGCCGCCACACCGTGTGGTTCACTGTTTCGCTGTGGAAGGCAGATGGCATGGCAGTACAGACACGTCATCATCCCTGGACTCCTTCCGTGGGGCCTCAGCAGCAGAGTGGGCTTGTTCAAGATGCGGCTCTGAATCTGCAGTGTGTGCACAGGCTAAGGGCCTCAGCAGCACCCTCAAGGGCGCATCACCACAGGTCCCCTCAGAAGCACGCCGCTGACCTCTGCGACCTGAGCAGCAGCATGGGCTACGCGACCTGTTCATGATCCGGTCCAGTGTCTGCAGCATGTGCGCGTAGCGGATCGCCAACCCCACCTCACCCACCGTCCCTGCCACCCCCGCCCGCTCACTGCTGCCCCTCCCCTACTCCCCCCGTTGCCACCTGAACGTGTTGTGCGACGCCTCAACACTCACCTCTGCGACCTGAGCAGCAGCGTGGGCTTGTTCAAGATTCGGTCCAGAATCTGCAGCGTGTGCGCATAGCGGATCGACAGCCCCGCCTCCCCTACTGTCCCCGCCACCCCCGCCCGCTCATCGTCCTCTACCCCTCCCGCCTGCCACCTGAAAGTGGTTCGCACTCTGTGCGAAAGAATCACCACTGCTGCTGCTAGCAGCTGCAGGATATAGGGGAAGAGGAAGGGGGAGAGGGGGGTGGGTGGGGGCAGGAGGGGGCGGGGAAAGCATAGGTGGGAAGATGGCAACCAGATGGGCAGGAGGAGTAACACTTCACTCAACCCTCCCGCTTTTGCCCTGCCACTTGAAAGTGGTTCGCACGGTGACGAGGGGGGGGAGGGGGAGGAGTGAGCGAGGGAGAAAGAAAGAGAATCACAGCTGCCACATGCTGGCAGGTGGAAGTGCGGGTAGGGACGGAGTGAGGGGAGGAGAGGGGGGGAGAGGGGAAGGGAGGGGTATGGAAAGGGAATCACCACTGCCACTGTTGCTAGCAACTGGCCGGCGGGGGGGGGGCTTGCAGGGAGTGGGGGGAATGAGGTGGTGAGAGGAAGAGCAGGAGGGGAAGAGACTGTGGAAGGGGAAGAGGTAAATATCTGCTGAAGGGGATTAAAAGACAACAGATGTGCTGCTGCTGACAACAGGTGGATCGTGGCAACATCTTGGGGGGTCGGGGAGAGGAGCGGGGGGGTTGGGGGGGGGTCAGTGCATGACATTTACATGTGACATTCAACCATCACTCATCAACCGTGCACTTAACCCCAACACAACCACCATCATGCACATATGTCCCCCACTCATCATCACACACATATCCCAGGCACACGCACCATCATGCACATATCCCCCCCACGCACCATCACCCACATATTTCCCGAAACACGTGCACCATCATGCACATATGCCCCCCACGCACCACCACACACATATCCCCAGCACGCGCACCATCATGCACTTGTCGAAATCTTCCACCCAGAGCGATTCCCTCTGCAGTCGCCGAATGAGCTTCAGCTGCCACACACAGATACACACACACCCACACACACACCCACACACACACCCACACACACACCCACACACACACCCACACACACACCCACACCCACACACCCACACACACACACACACCCACACCCACACACACACACACCCACACACCCACACACCCACACACACACACACACACACACACACCCACACACACACACACCCACATGCACACACACACACACACACTCACCCACACACCCACACACCCACACACACCCACACACCCACGCACACACACACACCCGCACACACACCCACACACACACACACACACACACCCAAAGTTACACACAGAGGGGGGGGGATTAGGGGGGGGAGGGGGGAGACTAGAGAGTGGTGATATATCCCCCTTATCCTGCACCCAGCCCCTTAGGGCGTGTGACCTCCGTGTCCGAACTGAGGTAAAATTCGAACAGAAAAGCGGGTTGCAAATTTCGCAGAGATCGTCAAACTACTCGTCAATTCACATAAAACTCCCGCAGAATATGAGACAATTGGAGGACACAGACCGTTCGAACGGTGCCACTCGAACGGTCAGACCGACACCGTTCGGACGGCACTGCCCCCTCGGTGCAATTTCACAGGCGGAAACCGGCAAAACCACAAAACAGCCTCGGGCTCCCACGCGACCGCCTCTCACATATCGCACACCGCAAACCAAGCCCCAACCTTCAGATTTGTGCTTCCGCTTCAGGTTTGGGAGACCAGAACCCGAAGCGGCTTTTGGTAGGGGGGTAGTTGCAATTGTTGCGACTGTCACGAATTGTCCAATGTCGCCACCGTTCGAATGCTCAATATTCAAAGTTGGGTCCTCCGGGAACATGTTTCCGCCTGTCTGAAATCGCGCTAGTTTTTTATGTCGTACGAATTTCGGGGCAGGCTGTTCAAACGCCCTCGGAATTCGAAATCGTTCGAATTTCGACCGACCTCAGCCGAGGTCACACGCTCTTAGTGTATCTGTGCTGTCGCGGACACACACAGACACACACACAAAAAGGAACACACAGAGGGGGGGAGGGGATTGGGGGGGGGGAACGAGGAGACAAGAGAGTGCTGTTATTTTCCCCCTGTTCTGCAGACTGCACCCAGCCCTTTAGAGTATCTGTGCTCTCGCACACGAAGGGGCTGCTAGCGATGGCAGCGGAGGTCACTTACACCATTTCTAATCCCATCTCCCCCGCCCCCAACCCCTCCCCATCCCTCCACAGTGCATCTACCACCCCACCTGCGACTGGATCCTCTGGCGCACAAAGGGGCTGCCAGCGATGGCAGTGGAATGTCAACTGAGCCCACCAAATCCCCTAGCCCCCTATCCCACCCCCCCGTTCTTCCCTCCCCCCATTGTTGTGCCCAGCCCACCTGCGACTGAATCCTCTCGCACACGAAGGGGCTGCCAGCGATGGCAGTGGGGAGACACCTGGACCTTCCCTACTCCCTACCTCCCCCATTCCCCTACCCGTCCACCTTGCATCCTGACACGCAGCCCACCTGTGACTGGATCCTCTCGCGCACGAAGGGGCTGCCAGCGATGGCAGTGGCGGCCCAGGCAGGCGCGTCCTTGGTGAAGCGCGCCATGCGCAGCGAGTGGGACGCGCTGGGGGGAGGGGAATGGGTGGTAGGGGGGTGACGGGACGGGGGGTGTGGGTGGTAGGGAGGGAGGCGGGTGGGGGAAGAGGGTGTCAAGGGGGGAGACCAAACTGGACTGCTGAATCAACAGTGGCGCCCAGGCAGGCGCCTCCTCAGTGAAGCGAGCTTTGCTGTGCCAGTGGGAGGCACTGGGGGAGGGGAATGGAAGACGGGAGAGGGGGAGGGAGAGGGAGTCAGGGGGATGCAAAGGGGGAGAGGGAGAGGGTGGGGGGATGGAAGGAAGGGAAGGAATAGAAGGGAAGGCAGGATGGTAAGCAGAGCACGGACACAAAGACCCGCACGGCACCGCACACACAAACACAGGCGATCCCACACCCACACCCCCCCTTCCCCCCCAACCCCATGCACGCACACACGCACACATCCTCACCGACACCCACACCTGCGACCCCCCTCCTCCCCAACACACACACACACACCCACATCCACACCCACCCACGAGAGCACACTGCACCCCCCACCTGGGCACGAGGATATCGAGGAGGGTCAGCTCCACGAGGCTATGACTAGGGATCGGGCGCTCGGGGGTACGCGGACTCAAAGAGAGCGAGCACGGAGCAGCCCACGGAGTGCAATCCAACAGGCGCTCACACTCACACGCACACATACACGCACACACGTACACATGTACACACGCTGCAGCCCCCCCACCTGGGCATGAGGTTATCGAGGAGAGTCATCTCCACGTGCAGGCGATTGGTGGCTGCCACCTTCTTCTCCAGAAACCTGATGGGCGCGGGGGAAGGGGGGAAGGGAGGAAGGGGGAGGCGGGGACAGGGTGACAGTGGATAACGGCTGGCGTATGAGTCGGCTCAGATGTCATCTGCATGTGCAGGCGATTGGTGACTACCAACCACCTCCTCCTCCAGAAACCTGATGGGCGTGGGGGGAAAAGGGGGAAGAGGCGACGGAGGGAGAACCGGTGGGGGACGCAGGGATACGGGCAGCATTAGATTCGGCTCAGAAGACAGTTGCACGTGCAGGCGATTGGTGGCCGCTAGATTCTTCTCAGGAAACCTGATGAAGGGGGTGCGGGAAAGGGGAAGGTGTTTGGGGGTAAGGGATGAGGCTTGAGTCGGCTCTATACACTATAGGCATCACGTGCAGGCGATTTGGTGGCCGCTACCTTCCTCACAGCAAAACCTGACCGGCGGGGGGGGAGGCGGGGACGGGGTGGCATTGGATTGGATAATGGTTGGCGTTTGCGTCGACTCAGAGGCTATCTCCACGTGCAGGCGATTGGTGGCCGCTACTTTCTTCTCAGGGAACCTGAAACGGGGGAGAGGAGGGGGGGAGCGGGAAGGTAGACGGGGGAAGAGGGGAGGGCGAGGGAAGGGGGGAGAGGACGGGGGGAAGGGAAGAATGTATGGTCATGGCGGCAAGGTGCAAGGTGCAGGCAATGGAAGGGAATGCAACACAGCACGGTACGGCACGGCACAGCACACAGCACAACTTGCTATGATTTTTTTGTCGACTCTTGAGCCGATGATTTTATAGTCGACTCGAAAATCACCTATGGCACGGCACAGCACACAGCACAACTTGCTATCAGAACAGACGAGAACAACCAAGAAAGAGTTGTGCAGTCACAATGACCTACTTGTGCAGAAACGCTTCCTCCTTTGGCGTATACAAAAACCAATCTTCCTCACCCGCATCACCAGCACCACCACCTCCTTCCCCCTTTCCCCCCGCATCGCCTCCCCTATCCCAACCTCTCCCCACCACCATCAACTCCTTCCCCTTCCCGCTCCCCTCCACCACCCCTTCCCCCTGCTGCCGCTGCTCCCCCCCTCTCTCCCCCTCCCTTGCATCCCCTTCCCTTTCGCCACCCTCCCTCTCCCCTCTCTCTCTCGCATCCCTCTCCCCTCTCTCCCTCATGTGCTTCTCCCCCTGCGCCTCCAGCTCGGCCAGTCGGTCTGTGAGGCGGTGCATGCGGGGGTCGCTGCAGCGCCGGGACAGCACGCACACCATGGACGATAGGACCTGTAGCTCCCTTAGGTACTCCAGGCCTGTGGGGGTGTGGGTGGTGGGGCAGGCGAGCGGGGAGGGAGGGGAGGCGCGGAGGGGGGGAAGAGGGTTGGAGATTTACTAACACCTCTCTGGGCCTGGAGATCTACACATGGGAGGAGAGCAAGAGAAAGCACGCACACCATGGACGATGAGACCTACAGCTCTCACAGGTACTACTACTCCAGGCCTGGAAGAGGGGGGGGTGTGGTGGGGGGACAGGGAGGAGAGAGATGGGCGGAGAGAGACGAACAGTGGATACTAGCTGGTGGAGCAACGAGTCCTCTACAGCAGAGTTGACCTCGAGCGCTTGCAGGCACTCCGGAACTGGAAGGAGCAACGGGGGGGTGGGCACTGGGCAGGAGGGATTTGAAGCTACATGGTCTTATCACCCACCTTGAAACGCGATTTTGTGTGAATGGAGATTCACGTGGAGACTCCAGCCTCCACCCATGAGTGCACTGACCTGCCAGCCGCCAGTGGTGATTGTGATCCCCTAGAATCATCTTGGTCACTCCATCCGACTGGCGAAAATGGACAAGAGAGGGACAGGAGAGGGGCAGGAGAGGGGCGGAGAGGGGCGGAGAGGGGCGGAGAGGGGCGGAGAGGGGCAGAGAGGGGCAGAGAGGGGCAAGAGATAGGCAAGAGAGGGGCAAGAGAGGGGCAAGAGAGGGGTAAGAGGGGCATGAGGGGGAAGAGGGGGGGAAGAGGGGTCGAGAAAGAAGGCGAGAAAGAGGGCGTAGACATCCAGCCAGACACTCGAGCCAAAGCTGCCTTTACATGCCACTGCACTCCTAATGCTAATGAAACGACGTGACTAAATTCCCATCACATCACCACCCCCTCCCTTCCTCTCCTCCTCTCTCCCACCCCCTCCCTCCACCTTCAATTTCCCTGCCCCTTCGTTCCAAACTTACCCATGCCCATCTTTCCCCCCCCTTGTCCCTGCCCCTCCCGTTCACCTCCTCTTTCTTCACCCCTTCTCCAAACCCCCCTCCTCCTGCTCCTCACCTGCAGTATCGTTTTCAGGTGGTCCATATGCGCGGGCTTTAGCTGCGCCCACAGCTCCAGCGCCCGCAGCATGGTGGACGCCACTTCGAACGACAGAATACCCATCCCCCTCGCCTTGCGCCCGCTGCCAAAGCCGCTGCTGCTGCTGCTGCTGCTGCTGCTGCCAGTAATGCCGCGGGTTCCCTGGCCGGACGTACTGCCTCCGTTTGCAGTGCTACTACCATCATTACCACTGATGCTGCTGCTGCTCCTGCTGCGGCTGCTGCTGTTGGTGCTCCTGCTGACGCGGATGCTGCTGCGATCCCCCGAATCACTAGTGTGCACCATACTATTGCTGCTGTTGCTGCTGCTGCTGCTGCTACCGTCGCTGCTGCCGCCTAAGCTGGCCTTTGCGCTTTTGCTCCGCCCCACTTCCATGTGATTCCCTGGAGCCTCTAGCAGGCTAACACCATCGCCATCGCCATCACCAGCACCATCGCCAGCACCAGCACTAGAACCAGCACCATCACCATTACTATCACTGGCAGTTGTAGCCACAGCAGCGGCTGCAGGAACAGCAGAGGGAACATCACTCCCTCTGCTGCCTCCGCTGCTACAACCGCCGCTGCTGTCGCTGCTGCCGCTGTTGCCACTGGCGCCACCGGGAGCAGCAGTGTTCTTTTCCCTGCTCTCCCTCCTGCCCTGTTTCCGCCTGCTCGATCTCTCCCCGCTCACTCGTCTGAAGCTCCCGCCACCCCCACCGCACACAGCAGCAGACGCAATCGCGCTCCCCCTGCTGCTGCGGCTGCGAGAAACGAAGGAAGACAAGGAGCGAGCGAGGGAAGGGGACTGCGGGGAGGAGGAGGAGCCAGAGGAGGTGGAGGAGGTGGGGGACTCTTGTGGATTCTCGTTCCCGCCTGTCCCCGATATAGCGTCGTTCGCTACAGCGGAGGTTCCCCCTTCGAGGAGAGGAAGCGGAGGGAGGGTAATCGCGCTGCCAGGCCCGTTGGGAAGTCTCGGAAATATTTTATCTGCTACGACGACAGCCATGCTCTGCTGATTCCCCATTGCAGCCCAGTCCGCTGCGGAAATGCGCAGTAGAAAACTGGCTCAGTCACCGCGCTACTGAATACCAAGATCGCCGCAGCGATTTCCTTTTATCTCTGGCGTAGACACCTCTCAACGGTGGGAAGAAGTTGACGCTGCTGGCGAGCAGAAGCAGTGAAACAGATGCAGCGTGAACGCGGAACAAAAAGTGTTCCTTTACCGGAGACCTTTATAGGGGATGCCTTGATGGGTGGGAGGGCTAATTGGAAGGCCTTTCCGGTAGGGAGCCTAGGGTCTATCGCAAGTCAAGGGTTTCGCGCGGGGACTCTCCCGCGAGTTTCCGCTTCTGCTCCAGCCAACCCATCTTATGGCGCATTGCTGAGGGGGCCGCACGGAAGGTCTTGAGGAGATAAGGACCGGCCGCTTCACGGTAGGACCGGCCAGTTCACGGCTTCGCGGGTGCGTGTCTAAGTGTTGCCGCGAATGTTCGCGAAAGGATCGCGAAAGGCTCGAAAGGATTTGAGCTGGCGCGTAGGGCGTAAGGTACGCACGCTGTCGGCGCACGGCAGTAGTGACGGTGAAACACACACGGAAAATCTGGAACGTAGGGTTCGAGCCTTACATGGTGTGAATCCCTCTGCTGCTCGATACAATAACTGCGGATACAATAGCGGCACTGCGAAGCGGTATTCCCGAAGACTCAGAGCACGAGGAAAGGGAAGACCGCTCTGGGAATCGCAAAAACAGAGTACTGAGAAGTCCAGTGCATGTGATCTGCTGTGGGAGCCGTAACAGCTTAGGTGACGAAGGAGTCAGCGTAGGGCCGAGTTCGAAAGTAGGTGAACGGTGATTTAACACGACACGGAAGGGTAGTCGCTCTGCAATAACAGGACTTAGTAATTACGGCTTTACGGCTTTATATTCTGACGCACTCGGAGCTACTGTATGCAGTGTCATCGCGGCAGCATCGAGTCTGGGGCCAATGGCGCAAATGTCGGCCAGAACTATCAGTTCACAGTTTGGAAGGCAAATGCGACGCCTGTCTTACGACTACGTAGCGAGTACTGGACTCTAATTTCTATTATCATGTACAGTCTTCGTCGGCTGACTCGTTGGATGGATAACGCAAGCTGTAGACAATCTCGTAAGAGGACATAAATGTCCCAACTACGGATTGATGCATGAAATGCAAGTTGTGCTTTTCATGGGGGAGGAGCAAGCAATGCAAGCTACGGGCTGGGGGAAGGCCGCTCCCCTCACTGCAGGAGAATGGGGAGCATGGAGGAGTTGAAGATATCAGGTGCAATACCCTGACTTCGATGCAATTAGTGGAATCATTCCGAACAGCCATTTGGGTGCTTCTGGATGCGAGTCGTAGGACGCATTTTCGCCCCCTACACCTTCCCCTCCTTGAATATTCGGCTGTTTTGATTAGGATGTTCCACCACTCCCCTCGTGCACTGTACTGATTTCAGCACTTAGGGTTCGTGCACGCCCCATCAGGTCTTGAGAGGGTGAACCCTAAGAGTCATCCAGATACGTCCAGCCTTTCTGATTGGAGACGGGATAGGCGGAGCGGAGGAACAGCAGCAGCAATCATCCCCTCCTGCAGGGGTTTGTGTGTGCGGGAGAGGGGGCAAGGGGAAAGGGGAGGTATGGAATGTGCGGTGCTGTAATGGCGGACACCCATATTTGCTGGAGCTCCTTGCTGTCTTCCCGCCGAGGCGGTGGTGGACGGCTCATCCACTTGCCACCAATGCCCGACCACATCAGCATCCTACTCTTCTGGCAATTACGAACCTTGGTACATGTTTCCGGTTTATCATGGCTTATCCCAAAAACATTGTCACAACTACTTTTATAAAGTGTGAAGACCATGTGTAGAATAATTTAGGGAGGAAACAATATAATGAGACAACATCAAAACACCAGGAAGCCATGAAGCCGCTAAAAATGGCACTCACGTCCGCATCAGTACTCATCTTGCCAAACCCTGAATGCGACTACGTCATCGAAGCTGATGCCAGTGACCAAGTAGTGGGAGCAGTCTTCATGCAAGACCAGGGGCGTGGACTGCAACCAATCGCCTACCTCAGCAGAAACTGCACGGGGCAGAATTAAATTACCCAATATACGACAAAAAGGCCCTTGCTATTGTCATCGTCTCCAAGATATGGAGATGTTATCTCGAAGGACGAAAAACGACCGTCTACATCAACCACTGCAGCGTGAAATATTTGAAGACCCAGCCAAATCTCTCCAAGCGACACGTCCGGTGGATTGACTTCCTTGAGACACACTTCTACTACGACAACGTGCAAAAGTTGGGAAAACAAGAACAAAGCAAAAGCTCTTAGTCGACCTGCGCACGTTGCCGCTATCCAAGTTGACGGGATGACCACACTACTCAAGGGAATCTTCACACACTGATATACTGTACCATCGACCCCAAGATGCCCTTGGTAGAGAAGCGACATCTACTACAGTGGGACAGCGACTTCGCTTAGCGAAAAGGATCAACGAAAATTTGGGTACCCAACTACCCACCTTTGCGCTAGTTACTACTTGAAGAATATCACGATGTCCTGTACGCCAGACTCGTTCTCCTCTTGAGTCTCCTCCTTTATCTTCTGACCCTATGCCCCCCTCTCGCTGGTGGTCTAATTGTCTCTCTCGTGCTTCTCCCATGTCTCCCGCTCCCAGTGTCCACCTTATGTCTCTCCGTTCTCACGCGTCTCATGCTCCTCCCGCTCCTGTTCTCCCGTCGCCTCCCCAGTCATCCCTCTCTGTCCCCTCGCCTCCTCTATCTGACCTCGTTCGTGTTGCTCGCCCTCTTGTTCCTCGTTTCCTAGCCTCTCTCGTTACTGATCCGTCCGTTCCTGTCTCCTGTCTCATAGCTCTTGTCGCTGCCGTCGCTGACTTTGCCTCTACCTGCCGCCTTGATTACGCCACTGTACCAGTCTCCGACCCTGCCCGCCCTCCGTTCGTCGGGGTGCACCTGCCCTTGGTAGTGATGTTCAAGAGGACAGACAGTTCGAGCTAGTTTTCCTTGTGGAGGCCGCTCCCCATCTCTGCTCCATGCTGCTAGTCCCTAAGGGTGACCCAGACGCCCTTGACATCCCGACCCCTCGCACTTACGCTAAGGCGACCTCGAGATCCTGGGCCTCTCAGTAGATAGATGTCATGGACGCAGAGATGGCATCTTGGAGATCCACCGGCAAGTTCGTCGACGCAGTTCCCCCACCTGGGGCGAACGTAGTCGATGGTCGGTGGCTCTTCAAGGTGAAGCGCTCTCCTGGAGAGCCGTCGGTGTTCAAGGTACGCTACGTTGCTAGAGGCTTCAGCCAGCATGGGGGTTTGGACTTCTTCCATACCTTCGTTCCTACCTCGAAGATGATCACTCTTCGGGCGGTGCTTTACGTAGCAGCACATCGCGACTACGAGCTCCACTCACTTGACATCTCCACTGCATTCCTTCAGGGTCGCCTGCACGAGCAGATCTACCTGCGCCGTCTGCCTAGCTTCACTGGCTCTTTCCCTCCTATGACCGAGTTGTTCCTCCGGCGCCCGGTCTACGGTCTGCGGCAGACACCCTGCGAGTGGCGCGACTCGCTACGTGCCACACTAGCAGACCTCCAGTTCTTTTCGTCCATTGCTGGCCCGTCTCTCTTCGTTCGCTCTGGCCAGACTCCGTTCTACATCCTAGTCTACATAGACGACTTGGTCTTCGCTATAGCAAACAGAGATGCACTAGCCTCGGTGAAGGCCGAGCTGCTGAGGAGACACACCAGCGTTGACCTAGGAGAGCTGCGCCGCTACTTCGGACTGCAGATCTCCAGGGACAGAGCATCACATACCATTACACTCTCACAATCACACCTGGTGCGCCAGGTCCTTTATAGGTTCGGCCTTCAGTTCTCCTCTGCACATCCCACCCCTCTGCCTATCAGTTACAGGCTCTCGGCTCCAGTCCTTGATGAGTCGGTCGAGCCTAGTGGTCAGTACGCAGAGCTCGTGGGCTGCCTCATGTACCTGATGACTTGCACTCGTCCAAATCTCGCAAACCCTCTTAGTATCCTCGCACGCTTTGTTACGACATGCAGACACCGACCTCAACACTAGTAGTGCCATACTGAGCTGCGTGTCTCTTGCTATGCACTGCCCCTTGTCTAGCATAGGGGGTGTGTCAACGTATACACATCTGTTATATGTATAGTTATTGGCCAGATAGGTACGTGCTCTTAGAGAGTACAACACAAACAAATATATGTCACCTGTATGCTCTGCTAGAGTCTCTTCGCTATCTTAACACATCCGACCGCTCGCTGAACCAACCATCGAACCTGTGAAGATTCTCAGGCATTGGATTAGGACCCTCTAGGAGCTCGCCTGATCGAGTTTCTGGTATCCTGGAAGGACCGGACGTTCTTGGAAAACAATTGGGTGTCCCTCACACAGATTCAGAAATACCATGTGCTACGAGTCTACCTTCAGTCACAGAATTTGCGCGACGTCGGCGGTCTTAGCTAAGACCATATCTTGGAGGGGTGAGAGTGGAAGGACATGGTGTTTCCTTAATCCGGGGTTTTAGTTAGTAAGGCGTACACTGCTGTAACGGGGTTGCCGTACAGATCGGCCACGATATTCAAATCGCGGCACCCAAATGTGATCACCTGACTAGCTGCATGCATTTTGCACGCCTTGCTGTTTCATGCCTAGATCTTGGCACTTCACGCCAATTTACAAACCACACGTCTCAGCCCTAGGGCGTCTGCTACGTGCGCACAACTTCGATCTTCTTGGGGTCAATGTGAACTCCTTCAGCGCTCACCATGATTCCTAAGAATTAGACCTTCTTGAGGGTGAATTCGCTCTTGGATAATTCAACGTAGAAGTGTTCCCGTCGAAGAATTTCGAAGACTCGTCGCAGGTGTTCGACGTGCTGCTTTATATCGCGCGAATAGATGAGAATTTCGCACAGATACACCATCCTGCACTTGTCCAGCAATGGTCGTAGGATATGGTTCATTTCGGCTTGGAAGGTTGCCGATGCGTTGGTGAGTCCGAACGGCATTACCAGATACTCGTACGACCCATATGGAGTTCTGAAGGCAGCTTTGTGGATGGAGTTGTCGGCCATTCTTATCTGCTAGTATCCGAATCACAAATCCAGTTTGGAAATACTGTGGCTCCCTGAAACTAGTCAAGCAGGTCCTAGATGCTTGCAGTGGGGTAGACCCAGTTGATCTCGAGGTTGATTTTTTTAAGGAACTCAAGCCCTTTTATAATGGTGATGCGAAGGGCAGGTTTCCAGCGTAGTGGTCCGACTTGCTGCCGTCCACCATCGTTAGAAAAAACCTGAGCTGGCAAATGGCCGAGGCTGCTTGGAGAAGTGCTCTTCTCCAGGGCCTAGAGTTTCCTTGACAATTGTGCGTGTCGTTGATGCTGAAGTTTCTGAGCTGGATGCATCCGAAGGAGGAGTTCAAGGCTTTTATAACTTCTTGTAGACCCCCCAGCTTCCTCTTGAGCTGCTTCAACTCCACCGTCGTCTTCCTTGAGGAACGGGTAGTCACTATGGGTTGGTGTCAGGAGAGGATGTTGACTCCGTGGAAGGGTCGGCCCATTTCCACACTCCTTAATTTTTTTCCCAAGTTCTCTAGTACCGGTACAATCTCCACAACTTTTTGCTTCTTCTGCAGTCCCTCCCAAAATTTCTCCAAGGCTCTAGCCCGTTGAGAATTCATAAGTTTCCATTAAATTATCTTCGTAAGACAACTTTAACGAATCCTTCATATTTTCTTGGGTCTTTTAGAAGTTTTCCCGTCTCTGCAGAGTCTTTTTTCGCAAAAACATATATTTTCTCGGTGATTTTCCCTAGCAAAGACTGGTCGTGGGGTGGAGATTTTTCCCCATCATTTCTTCCTGCTCGCATCCAATCAGCTTCGTCGAAGCTGATTTTTCCAAGATCCCGCGGCCGGTTTTGGACCATTTTCCTTTTTCCCTGCTAGATCCATAATCACTAGCGATTCCCGTATTTTTATCTCTGATTGGCCGAGGAATTCCCGTCACTATTGCGCATTCGATACTCTGCACGTGCGGCCTTCATTTTGTTGTAGTTGAAGATTCGATGACCCGACACTCCGCAAAAATCGTTGCACGTT